TGGCATAGCCTCCAGCCTCATGGCAATACACAAGCCACCTTAGTAAGACTAACTGACAGATGAGTGGTGGATGACATATATATAATTATACACACACACATACATATATATGGTAACTTTGTGAACCCTATAGTCAAAGTAAAGTAAGTTGGGAAAATATTTTTCTTTTTTGCAATTATGTATAAATTAACATTACTGAAGAAAATCATTTTAAATGTATTTCTCCAGAAGATTCTTCATTCTGTTCTCTATTTTGCATCCTGTGCACAAAGAAGTCAATGAGTTAATTTCCAAAGCAGCCAAAAAGTTAAATGCTTCCTCTTTCATTTTGTTCAAACGTTTTACTTTAAATTCTTTCTTTAAACAAAGGGCCATTCTTGTATCCTTTTGTTATAGGATGCCCCTTCTGAATAGTTTCCAGGAATAAAATAACTGATGATAAAAAAAAACAGTAATTCTTCTTAACATCCTTTGTATAAAGTTATTAGATGATGACACTGATTCATGATTAATGACTCTTAACATGTTGTAGCCTACATATGGTGCATTAAACGTTCCTCTAGCAAAGGATATCATTTCACATGGTCGTTCTAAATTTTAGACCTGAAATATTGTAGCTTTAGAAGAGCATGTTACTTTTTGTGAGAACATTTCCATTCTATACAAAAAGACAGCAGAAATTCAAATATCTGAAATTACAATGCTGATGGAGTTTAATAGTGCTGCTTTGTTGTTGTTGTTGTTGTTAGGTGCCATCGAGTCAGCTCCGACTCATAGCGACCCTACGTATAACAGAACACAACAGTGCCTGGTCCTGTGCCAGCCTCACAGTCCTTGCTATACCTGAGCCCATTGTTTCAGCCACTGTGTCAATCCATCTCATGGAGGGCCCTCCCGTTTTTCATTGACCCTCCACTTTCATTCACTGCCATCCAGTCGGATCTGACTCATAGTGACCCCTCCTTGGGTTTCTGAGGCAGTATCTCTAAGGAAGTAGATTGCCCAGCCTTCCTCCCGAGGAGTGGCTGATGAGTTTGAACCGCCAGCCTTCTGGTTAGCAGTCAAATGCCTTAGGCACTATGCTACCAGAATGCATGATATCCTTCTCCAGGGAATGGTCCCCTCTGACAACATGGCCAAAGTAAGTGAGACGAAGTCTGGCCATTCTCGCTTCCAAGGAGCATTCCGGCTGCACTTCTTCCAGGCCTGATTTGTTAGCTCTTTAAGCAGTCCACGGTACTTTCAGCATTCTTCCCAACACCACAACTCAAAAGCATCAACTCTCCTTTGGTCTCCCGAAGCTCTCACATGCATATGAGGCAATTGAAAACACCATGGATTGGGTTAAGGGCACTTAGTCTGAGACATCTTTGCTCTTTAGCACTTGAAAGAGGTCTTTTCCGCAGATTTGTCCAGTGGAATACATCCTCTGACTTCTTGACTGCTGCTTCCATGGGTGTTGATTGTGGAACCAAATAATATGAAATCTTTAATTTCAATCTTTTCTCCATGTATCATGATGCTGCTTATTGGTCCAGTTGTGAAGATTTTCATTTTCTTTATGTTGAGGTGTAATCCACACTGCAGACTGAAGTCTTTAATCTTCATCAGTAAGTGTTTCAAGTCATCTTCACTTTCAGCAAGCAAAGTTGTGTCATCTGCATATCACAGGTTGTTAATGATTCTTCCTCCAATCCTGATGCCATGTTCTTCTTCATACAGCCCAGCTTCTCAGATTATTTGCTCAGCATACAGATTGAGTAAGTATGGCGAAAGGATACAACCCTGACAACTCCCTTCCTGATTTTAAACCATATAGTATCTCCTTGTTCTGTTTGAACAGCAGCCTCCTGGTCTATGTACAGGTTCCTCAGGAGCACAGTTAAGTGTTCTGGAATTCCCATTCTTCTCAATGTTACCCATAATTTGTTATGATCCTTGTCATAATGTGGGGTCTTGTGTGTTGCTGTGAGGCTGGAGATGATCCCACCAGCATTTCAAATCCCAGCAGGGTCACCCATGGTGGACAGGTTTCAGTGGAGATTCCAGACTGCTGCTTAATGATGTTTAAATATAAATTAATTCCAGGATATTACTGAGAAATATTTTTGGAACTTTAATTACCATCAATGTATAAAAATAAATAACAGAATTGTGCCCAGATGGCATGATTAGTGGTGTTTTTTCAGAAACAGAGATTTTAAAACATCAGTATCCATCTTTCATTTCATTGTTCCATCTGAGAAAGAAACAAAACCTATTTACATGCATCACCCTAAAAGTCTAAGTGAGTTCTTAATTTGAGTCCCACAGAGCATCATTCTTTTTCCAAAAGTAAAGCACACTTCCTCTGAGTTTTTCTGTGATAAACTTGAGGATTCACCTGCTGACTTTTCATCACAATAGAACTTAAATACCAGGTGAGGAAGCTGGCCCACATTCAATTCCAATTTTTCAAGATCTAGTTATTTGTTGTTATGTGCCGTTGAGTCAGGACCCGACTCATAGCGACCCTTCCTTGGGTTTCCCAGGCAGTATCACTACGGAAGTAGATTGTCCCATCTTCCTTCCGAGGAGTGGCTGGGGGGTTTGAACCACCAGTCTTCTGGTTAGCAGTCAAGTGCCTTAGCCACTATGCTACCAGAGAGCTCTGGTAGCTACCAGAGATACTGCCTCGGAAACCCAAGGAGGGGTCACTATGAGTCAGGTCCCGACTCCACGGCACATAACAACAACAACAACAGTTATTTATTTAGATTATCACTTTTGGCATCTCAGTATCTTATAGCAGCCCTCCCAGTCTATATTAATATATTGATATATATTAATGTTTCTACATTAATATTAATATCCTGATATGTCTATACTAATATTAAATTTAAACATAAATATATCAACATTTCTATGTTAATATTGATTTTAATAAAAGGTGTGTCCTTTCTCCCTCATTTTTCTTCTACCCAAAATAAGCTTTGTTGTTGTTGTTATGTGCCTTCGAGTCGGACCCGACTCATAGCGACCCCTCCTTGGGTTTCCAAGGCAGTGTCACTACAGAAGTAGATTGTCCTACCTTCCTTCCGAGGAGTGGCTGGTGGGTTTGAACCGCCAGCCTTCTGATTAGCAGTCAAGTGTCTTAGCCACTATGCTACCAGAGCTCCAAAATAAGCTTTAGGCTTGATTTTTCTGTGTCTATTTTTGCCTAGAAATCCCCTAACAATTTAACAAAGTAAAATAATTTTTATATTACCAATGTTTAAAATGGCTAATGCCTAATATGTGACAGGAATTGTTCTAAGCATTTTATATATAGTAATTCGTTTTAGTGGATACTGTGTTACTGAACACAAGACACCTAGTTCCTTTCCTTAGTGCACCTACCTTGGGAACACTAATGGTAGCTGAGTAACATTTATAAAGAAGTAATTTAGTCATAATGGGCAAAGGTTTTGAAGTTTGAGCTACCCTCATCAAAGAGAAGTCATAACAAAAACTACCTTGCTTTCTACTAGCCCTGTCTCCTTTTACAACTATAAAGAACTTTGTTTTTCAGTTTTTTCAGGCCCAAAAGTTGAAACAAAGGTTGGGCAGCAATCCTTCTATTTATATCCTTTCCTGCTCTGAGATATTAATATATGACAAAAGGGGTTTCCTGTTTGTTAATCTTTTCTTTTCCTTTCTTCATTTTTTTTTTCCCCTCGTATATAGTCTCCACTTTTCCTCTCCCCTTCATCTTTTACTCAGCTCATTCCCCAAACCTCCTTTCCAGAGCTCAGACCTTTTGCCCCATGGCAGAATTAAGACTGTCTCAGGCATTCCGTACAACCGGACAATAGAGACCTTAAGAAAGGTGGTCCCCTAAACTAGAGGCCAGGAGCATGCACGCCAATCTTGTCCCCTTTACCTTCTTCCTCGGGGTGCATTTACCCAGACCTTTGAGCTACGTTTCCAATACTGCACCACTCCCACTCCATCACAACAAAGCTTTCTGAGAACAGCACAACACCCTCTACTCAACTCCCCGGAAACAGCGCTAACCCGGCCGACAACCCCTCCCCAAAGTGTGCCTCTCCCAACCCTCGCCAAGGGGAGAAGGATGCACCTGGGTCCCGACTCTGGCCAGACTAAGGGCACCGGCGCGCTCCGGCTCAAGTGGAGTCTACTCCGGCTCAGCGAGGCCCAGCCCAGGGCAACTTGCAAACCCTCGGGTGGATCCAGACGGCTGGTAAAATGTCTTTTCCGCTCACCACCACCCAAACCGTCCAACACCGCAGCAGACCCCACACACACGCACTTTGGGGTTCCAAGTTTCAACACTCCCTACAGGATGGCGGGGTGGTGGTTGGGGGGGGTGGTCCCGGAAGGTGGAAAGAAAACAGGTCCTGGGCGGGGGCTGCCACAACTCCCAACCCGCCTGCAACGTTGCCGGTCCTGAATTACACAGACACACACCTTGGGATTTCTGTTTTTCGTGGGTAGGTGGAGGGCTGGAAGGGGACTGGGAGCGAGTAGGGAGTGGCGATTTGTGGAGCGAAGGAATACGGGAGAGTTCAAGCCTACATCTCTGCCCTGGACCAAGCTGGGTCTAGAGACAGCCGGCCTGCCCGACGCTTTGTTGTCAGCGTGTCCTGTCGCTGGTGCGCACGCTGCGCGCAAACACGCCCCCAAAAATCATCACAACCTACCCAGCGGGCCAAAGAGCCCCTAACCCCCGACAGGGGAAAGAAACTTGCAGCCGGGCGCCAGCTGCCCAGACACTGAGATCGCTGGCTTACGAGGGCAATTTCAAAAGCCTAAATCATGATGATCATAGGATCAGTATCTTCGTCCGAGTCTTTGGAAAAATGAAATTTCTGTTTTCCTCCAGTCCCTCCACGGCGAAGTGGGGGAGGGAGGTGGGGCTGGCGCTTAAGGTAGAGTGAGCAGGGTGCCGGAGAAGGGGACCGGCTGGGGACCCGGGCCCCCGACGCCATTTGCGGGGCAGCCGCGCCGGCCTGCCTTACCTGTGGATGCAGTTTCCACGGCAACGGGAGGCGGCCCGGCGGAGCCCGAGCCCGGTTCCCGCGGCGCGTCTTCCCGGGCGCCGGCGCCCAAGCCCCGGCCCGGCTCTCCCGCCGGTGGCGTCGCCTTGGCCCCTTTCAGCGTCACCGCCTCGTCTTCCCCCTCCCCCCGGTCCCCGAACCACTGAGACCCGGGGCTGGCCAGCGGCAGCAGCTCATCTTGCGGATCTGGAGGAGCGGCCATGGCTGACGGTCCCGGGGGCGCGGCGATGGCTGCTTCGCGGGGCCGAGGTGAGGTGGCTGGGCGGCCGGGCGCTCCCTGCTGCTGCCCCCGCCGGGACTCAGGACGCGGGGAGGCTGCGGGGTATCAGCGCCGCTGCTGCCGCTGCTGCAACTCCGGCCGCGCCGCCGCCTGCCGCTCTTCCCGCTTCGGCTCCTCCTCCTCCCACTGCCGCCGCGGCCACGGCTTCTGCTCCTCCTCCTGCTCCCGGCGCTGCCGCCGCCGCCGCCGCCGCCGCCGCCGCCGCCGCCGCTGCTACCTCGCGGCTCCCCAGCCCGCGATTACGCAGGTGAAAATGGCCTGCTTGGCCTGTGTTCCTCGGCCCACGTCAGCCCCCCGGCCTGCTACTGGCAGGTTCCGCTTGGGGGATGTGCTCAGTCCACTTGAATCTTGCTCTCATTCGGGAAGGGGTGAAAGGAGAGAGCCAGCAGGCCGAAGCAGCCCCCAGCCGAAGGCGCAAGCCTCCCTCCCAACTAACAAAGTTAAGCCCGGACTGGTGTCCTGGGACGGGAGGCAAAGGATGCAGGCTGGAGACCCCAGGGTCACGGTTCTGAAGGTGACCAGTGTCAACTATGAGGAGGATCTAGGTCTGAGGGGCGGGGGGCGGGGTGGAGATGGGTGTTGGTCGCCGATGGACACAAGGGAATCTGCAATCCCGAGGTTAAATCCTCTGTCCTTAAACTGTTGTTTGCGGAACTGGGCGGAAAATAGTTCAGTACTGGGAAGAGCTATCTACGAGCTTCAAACAAACAAAAAACAATAATTATTTTTTAAAAAACCAGACCATATCCCTACCAGCCCTGAGGGTAAATAAAATGGAAAAAAAAAAAAAAAAAAACAGTTGCCACCGATTTGATTCTAACTCAAGGCAACCCTATGTGCGCAAAGTAGGTCTGTCCTCCAAAGGGATTTCAAGGCTGTCAGCTTTGGGAAGCAGATCACTGGGTCTTTCTTCCAAGCGCTTCGGGGTGGCTTCAAACCGCTAACCTTTTGGTTAATTGTAGGAGCTCTGGTGGCCTAGTGCCTAAGGCACTTGACTGCTAACCAGAAGGCTGGCGGTTCAAACCCACCAGGCACTCCTCGGAAGGAAGACTGGGTAATCTACTTCCATAGACATACTGCAGTGAGTGTGGTTTTTTGGTTATTTTCAAGCGCTTAACAACATGTAAATAAGCAGGACAAAAAGCAGCTATGGTTTCTTTCAGAAATACTGAGTCAAGGTAATGAGAAGTATACACTGTCTTTATAAACTCTATTTTATTTGAGAAGTTAGACATTCCTAGTTTTTTCTTATTATTATTATTTATGGCTGTCTCTGATAAGATGGATGATACTTAAGAGAAGAAACCTAACTCATAGGAGGAAAGTGACTTTCATTATAATGTGTTATATTTCTGCCCATCTTTTCAAACAAGGGCATCCCAGGTGGTGCGAATGGTGATGCGCTCTCCTCTGCCAAAGAAAGGATGAAGATCAGAGTCCACCCAGAGTCCCCTTCTGAAAAATCAGCCCTTGAAAACTACGGAGCACAGTTCTGCTTGGACACAGAAGGGCTCACCATGAGTTGGAATCGACTGGGGGGCAACTGGTGTTTCAAACAAGCCTTGAGTTTTCTCAGTGTCTGAATTGTCTGTAAAATGATGTGATTTGTGAAACTAAGGTTCAGTCCAACACACAGGGTGAAGGAGTCAGCTTGCCTGCTCCTTCCCTAGAAAAGATGGAGCATGGGGTGCAGGTACTGTGAGACCTTGTGGAACTCTAAACCACCGTATGCACACTGAGGGGTTCATACTTATCAATGTGTGGATTCAAAGGTCAACATCAGCACCATTCAGAGTGTCTTCAAAAATGTTGAAACTAAAAAGCCTATATTCTGCCCATTCCGTTGTCCTGTTAGAATATTAATGTTCACAAGATGTTCAGTAACAATAAATTAGAGAAAGTGTGTTCACTCAATAGACAACAGATATATCCTGTTATGTGTCAGATGCTCTGGGGGTAGTATGCTCACCAAAATTTCACTCTATTGATATTTTCAAAAATTATCTCATGATGGATGTATTTATTGCCATCATAGTAGTAATTGTTTCACAAGTGTATAATATGTCAAAGCTCATCAAATTGTTCACTGTAAGTGCATACAATTTATAGTATGCCAATTATTCCTCAATAAAGCTATTTTTAAAAAATGCTAACTCCAATAACAACAGCAAAAACTGGTTGGGTATCATGAATCATTATGATTTTTGGAAACTGTCCATGGAAAAAGAAAAACAACAGGTTTAAGGACTCTTTAAGATAAAAAGCTTATTTCACAGCTGTCTTTTCCATGAGCTTCACTCTGTTGTGTAACTTGCGAGGTTCCCCCCTCACCAAATCTGTGGTTCAGAACCTCCTGAAGGATGAGAAATACCAGATGAAAACGTTTCAGTTTCCTTATTGGTAACATGCCAAGAACACAGAAAATGCTAATGACATCTCTTTAAGTGATTAGTGATGGCTACTCAATATTTGAGAATTGTTACAGTTGAGATGTTATATTCAGAATATAGAGTATTTTTTCTCTAAGAAACACTAATGAAAGTTATTAAAATATTGAAACACACACATATGTATACATACATATATATACATATATATACATACATATATATGGAGTTTGAGGATATGCTTCCATTTGTTTTCCTTATTTCATCAGATACTGATCAATATTCTAATTGAGAAAGTATGGAGGAAATAACCAGTGAGGTGTATTTAGATTTTAATTGTTAGGGAAAATTGATAGAGAAAACAATTTCATTTTGATAAATTACTCTATTTTGCTCTGCTGAAAAGAAATGTGAATAATGTACCATTTTTGCAACTATAATCATGTATTAGATTCCATCTTTGGATATATGCAAATAATTATCTATTTAGGGGGAAAGGTTCTCAGGTTTATGCTTTGGTTTGAAATGACCAATATTTATCAGTATTATTTGTTTTGCATGTGCACTCCTATGAACTAACAAAGTAAGGTTTGAGTTAGGAGCTCTGGTGGCATAGTGCCTAAAGCACTTGACTGCTAATCAGAAGCCTGGGGTTCAAATCCACCCACCACTCCTCGGAAGGAAGGTTGGGCAATCTACTTCCACAGTGATACTGCCTCGGAAACCCAAGGGGGGGTCACTATGAGTCAGATTCAACTTGATGGCAGTGAGTTAGTTGAGTTTAATTTCAAGAGTTACATGCATAACATACAGTCAGCATTGGAATTCCAGGACTTGTATAGTTGCTCTAAGTTATTAATTTCTCTATAATACTTCGAGACAAAGAAAATAGGGTTGGCACTCTTAAAAGATTCTTAGCAAGGAGAGTTGAGACAAAAGAACTGTCAGGTTTTATCTTCAGCCATTTTTTTTTTCTTTTTAGAAAAAGCAGTTTTGTTCATCATGTCAAAAGAAAGAATCTATTAAAGAGTTTTGTTTTGTTTTTTAACACTAGCTCCTTAACTTAGGTAAAGCCTTATGTCAAAGGGAAATGGAAGTGAGGACATGTACAAAGACCACCATAGGTAACAGACCAACCAAGATGAAGTCCTTTCCAGTGCAGTATTGATATTACTTAATATCTCTATATCTCAGTTTCCTCTGATGTAACTTGGAGCTTTTGATAGTGTCATCTGCATAGGTTTGGGGAGCACTGGGTGGGTTAACATATGTAAAATATATTATTAATTATGCTGATAATAGTACATACCAAATTATTTCCAGGAAATGGCTTATAATGTTGAAATTTCTGCCTGGATATCTACATTTGTAAACACAAAAGAGTCTGTAGACCTCTGGTAGTCAAAGCAAATTAAATGAGTAATTTTCCCCTACTGAGTGACTTTTGGCTGTTTTTGCTTGTAATTTCTGTATTATTTTTTTAAAATATAATAGCTTATATATAAACTTAAACCCACTGAAGCCAAAATGCCCTACTTTAGAGCCATTTTTAGGATAGAAGGTAACTGTAGAATCATTTCCATTGACTGGTGAGACTGGTTCCTCAGATTTCTCTGAAATCATTTGGCATATGTTCAGGGCTTAATTTGGCTATGATTTCACTATTGTATAACGTGTGCAGTATAGCAGTTAAAGCATTCAGCTGCTAAGCAAAAGTTTGGGAGTTCAAACCCACCAGCCACTCCATGGGAGAGAGATGTGGCAATCCACTTCTGTAAAGATTTACAGTCTTGGAAACCCTGTGTGTCAGTTCTGTTCTGGCCTATAGGGTCACTAATAGTCCCAATCAACTCGACAACAATTAGTTTGGTTGGGGGGGGGGCATTATAATGTGTGGAAGATCTTGAAGTTGATATGGAAAAGAGTTCTTCATTGTCTGCTTCAGTGAAAGAATGTTCAGATTAAAACTAATTTATAGAGGCAACAGGCTGGTGCATGAGACAGCTGTGTTTTCTCCATGAGACCACTACAGCACTCACAAAAATCAGACAACACATTCCGAACACACCGGGCTCCTTCTGTCCACGGAGGGTGGCTGCTGTTACTTAATCTGCCACTTGAAGGGGTAAAGCATGGATACTTCCAGTGTCCTCCAGGAGAGGAGGGAAGATGAGAGGTGATCACGTTTATTGAACCCAATTTCATTTTCCTTTATTTAATTTGTACATTTGAATAGAACTGATTTTTTTTTTCTAATTTCTTTGAACAAAAGCATGAATTAGATCTATAGCTTGAAGTCTCCATCCTTTGGACTAATAAAAAATCCTTCAAAATACTCTGAGCTTGAGAAGCAAACCAAAATATACATGATAGAGATAATGTGTTTACAAAGTGCATTTTACAAAGTACATGCACATGCAAATTTCATTTAATCATCACAAAAATCTTGTAATCAGTATTTTAATAGAAAATTATATTCTCTCAATACAAAAGCAATAATAAAAATAGATAATATTGATTAAGCATGAAGGAAAA